TAATCCCAGCACTTTGGGAGGCCAAGGTGGGCAGATCACCTGAGGTTGGGAGTTTGAGACCAGCCTAACCAACATGGAGAAACCCTGCGTCTACTAAAAATACAAAATAAGCCAGGCGTGGTGGCACATGCCTGTAATCCCAGCTACTCAGAAGGCTAAGGCAGGAGAATCACTTAAACCCGGGAGGCAGAGGTTGTGTGAGCAGAGATCGCACCATTGCATTCCAGCCTGAGCAATAAGAGCAAAACTCCCACCTCAAAAAAAAAAAAAAAAAAAAAAAAAAAAGAAAAAGAAAATAGAAAAATTAATCTCAGAAAGGAGCTCTGGGTAATCCCAAAGCTCAAACAAAATTTGCTCTGACAGAAGCTGCTGTCATCACCTTAATGCCCTTTTTTTTTTTTTTTTTTTTTTTTTTTTTAGATGGAGTTTCGCCCTTGTTACCCAGGCTGGAGTGCAATGGCGCGATCTCGGCTCACCGCAACCTCCGCCTCCTGGGTTCAGGCAATTCTCCTGCCTCAGCCTCCTGAGTAGCTGGGATTACAGGCACGCGCCACCACGCCCAGCTAGTTTTTTGCACCTTTAGTAGAGACGGGGTTTCACCTTGTTGACCAGGCTGGTCTCGATCTCTCGACCTCGTGATCCACCCGCCTCGGATCTTAATGCCCTTAACTACACATCAGCAGTTACAGGTCTTATTCAGTTCTTAGGAATATTTCATTTCTATTATTCATTTATTTCATAGGCAGAAACTCAAAATCACTTGGGTCTCTGTAACAATGATATGATTAAAGTTTAAGAAAGGGTCTAATTTTAGCTAATAATTTGTTGGTCATCACAACATCATAGGATAAATTTTTCCCAGCCATTCTCTCAATCTTTAATTCTTACGTAAATAACAAACGTATACTTTCTTCTCACCTGTGGGCTAGTAGTTATAGATGTTTTCATCACAGGTTCAATATTGTGAGAAACAGACACTAGAGTCTGAGGAAGATAGAGGGGAAGGGAAGTTAAATCCGTAAATGCTCCTGAGTCTTCAGACAACCATTGCTGAAGTTGATCTTCAAACCTGAAACAATATATGATCATAAATTTAAAAATATTTGAGCATTAGGAAGTTAACAATTGTTCATTAATCTTCTATATATACTTAAAAACTTTTTGAGCCTCTGTTTTTAATTTTATTAATTTATTAATTAATTTTTTCAGATGGAGTCTCACTCTGTTGTCCAGGCTAGAGTGCAATGGGGTGATCTCGGGTCTATGCAACCTCTGCCTCCCGGGTTCAGGTGATTGTCCTGCCTCAGCCTCCTGAGTAACTGGGATTACAGGCACATGCTGCCATGCCCAGCTAATTTTTTGTACTTTTAGTAAAGACAGGGTTTTACCATATTGCTCAAGCTGGTCTTGAACTCCTGACCTCAGGTGATCTGTCCACCTCAGCCTTCCAAAGTGTTGGGATTACAGGCATGAGCCACTGACCCAGCCAATTTTATTATTATTATTTTTGAAAAGGTCTTGCTATGCCGGGCGCAGTGGCTCAAGCCTGTAATCCCAGCACTTTGGGAGGCCGAGGCGGGTGGATCACGAGGTCGACAGATCGAGACCATCCTGGTCAACATGGTGAAACCCCGTCTCTACTAAAAAGTGCAAAAAATTAGCTGGGCATGGTGGCACGTGCCTGTAATCCGAGCTACTCAGGAGGCTGAGGCAGGAGAATTGCCTGAGCCCAGGAGGCGGAGGTTGCGGTGAGCTGAGATCGCGCCATTGCACTCCAGCCTGGGTAACAAGGGCGAAACTCCATCTCAAAAAAAAAAAAAAAGAAAAAAAAAAAAAAAAGAAAAGGTCTTGCTCTGTTGTCCAGGCTGGAACGCAGTGTCACGATCTTGGCTTACTGCAACTTTGACCTCCCAAGCTCAAATGATCCTCCCACCTCAGCCCCCCAAGCAGTTGGGACTACAGGTGCACACCACCACACCCAGCTAATTTTTGTGGAAACCGGGTTTTGCTGTGTTGCCAGGCTGGTCTCCAACTCCTGTGGTCAAGTGATCTGCCCACCAAGACATCCCAAAGTGCTGGGATCAGAGGCATGAGCCACCTGCCCACCTCAGTCTCCCAAAGTGCTGGGATTATAGGCATGAGCCACCACACCCAGCCTTAGGCCTTTGCTTTTTACTAAGAATGTTAGAGATGACATCAACTGAGAAGTAGAAATGTACTTATTGAAAATTTAGTAACTTCCTATGATAAAGCTTAATTTAAAAAAAGAACTAGGCTGGGCGTGATGGCTCACGCCTGTAATCTCAGCACACTGGGAAGCCAAGGCAGGCAGATCACCTGAGGTCAGGAGTTTGAAACCAGCCTGACCAACATGGTGAAGCCCCATCTATACTAAAAATACAAAAATTAGCCGGGTCTGATGGCAGGTCTCCATAATCCCAGCTACTCAGGAGGCTGAGGCAGGAGAATTGCTTGAACATGGGAGCCCGAGGTTGCAGTGAGCCAAGACTACATCACTGCACTCCAGCCAGGGCAATGAGAGCAAAACTCCATCTCAAAAAAAAAAAAAAACCAAAAAAAAACTTCCCTTTAATTTATAAATCCAATTTATATTTAATGAAAAAGTGGCATTAATCCAAAAACAACTGCTTCTGTGTGTTACTTAACATTATTTTTAATCGTCCTGTTTGGCTTATCTTCTTTAGTTTGGTTTTATGCATCTGTAATTCTTCTGACATTTTCCAAATGTGTGGATTGCGCTTATAGCTTACAATTAACTCAAAATAATATCCCACTGCCACCTAACGTACTCCAGAGCCGTCTACTTTCATATACCGGTCTTTTCAAGAAAAACCATCTTGGCCAGGTACAGTGGCTCATGCCTATAATCCCAGCACTTTAGGAAGCCGAGGCGTGTGGATCAGGAGTTCAAGACCAGCCTGGCCAACATGGTGAAACCCCATCTCTACTAAAAATACAAAAATTAGCCAGGCACGGTAACAGGCACCTGTAGTCCCAGCTACTTGGGAGGCTGAGGCAGGAGAATCACTTGAACCTGGGAGGTGGAGGTTGTAGTAAGCCGAGATTATGCCACTGCACTCTAGCCTGGGCAACAGAGCAAGACTCTAATTAAAAAAAAAGAAAGAAAGAAAGAAAAAAAGATGTCATCCAAAACCACTTACAGACACTAATTCTAGAAATTGGACATTCATTCATTCTTCCAACACGTATTTATCAAGCCTCCTCCAAATGCTAGGCATCATCCTAGGTACAAGGAATACTGCACTGAAACAAAACAGAAGCCCTGCCCTACGCAATTTATCCTTTAGTGAGGGGAGACAGACAAGGGACACATAACAAGAGAAACGGTCTGAGGAAGAGAAAGACAAAACCAGGCCATGGAAACAGGAAGGTCGGGGATGGGCAAGGAGGGACTAATAGAAGCAGACATTTGAGCAGAGATCTGAAGTGCGTATGAGACCAACCATGGGGATGCTGGGGAGAATGGAGGGGCTGAACAACCACAGACAAAAGGAACAGCAAACTCAAAGGCCCAACTGTGCACGGCTCACCATGTTCAAGGATGGAGCAGAGGTCAGAGAGGAAATGTGGAACAGATCACTCAGGGCCCTGGCCACCCTTGTAAAATCTGCCTTTGATTCCAGGTGAAAGAAGGAAACCACTGAGAGGCTGTGAGCAAGCAAGGGACACAACCTCCATCTTAACTCACCTGAAAGGCACCCACCAGGTCTACCAAGACTGAACTACAGCCTACTATAATAATCCAGAAGGAAGATGATAGTGGATTGAGCCAAGTGGTAGCCATGGAAGCCATAACAACTGGTCCAATTGTAAATACATTTTTAATAGAGCCAATAGGATATGTGAGTGGGATGATGTGAGAGGATGATTCCAAGGCACCTGATTTAGATAGCTGGAAGGATGGAGCCGCCATCAACAGAGACGACCACCAAAGGAAGGGGTTGGTTAGGACAAAGTCAGGAACTGGATTTGGGATGTGTTAACTTTGCAGTGGCTACCAGACATCCAGTAGATGTCTAATGAACATTTCAAAGAAGCAGTAGGATGTTCAAGTCTGGAGTTGACAGGTTTGAGATACAAATTTGGAGTTGTCAGATACTGATGTTATTTAAAAATCCATGGACCTGGATGAAATCTCCGAGGAACAGGTACAGATGATGCAGAGGAGAAGTTGAGAGAATGAATCCAGGGGCAGCTGTGGGATAAGGAGGAACCAGCAGGGTAAGAGGGGGCATACAGACATCTTAGGAGCAAGGAGGGGGGATCAAGTATGGGATGCTGCCAGGGACTGGAGTTCACGGTCATGTTCAGCCCTGAGTTGCCTGCAGGGATGGGAAAGAAGGCTGAAGAAGTAAGTGTCACAAGTGTTTTTGAGTTTTACTATTATAAGGGCAGAAACATGGAGTGGTGGCTAAAGAGGGAAATGGGCCCAAGTTAGGGAGAAATGCCAGCATGTTTCATGCCTGTGTGTTGCTGATGGGTACCATTAGTATGGGGAGGGGTGGTAACACAAGAGGGATCTCACAGAACGAATGTCCTTGGGTGAGCAGGAGATGATATGCCAGCCCAGTAAAGGACTGACTTTGACTAAGAGCTGGATGGTTCCTTTCTAGCAACAAGAGGGGTTAGGAAGGGGGTACAGGGATGATGCTGGATGTGGCTGGGAGGGAAGGGAAGGCAGAGGATAACCTGTGGAAGGTCCCTCATTCCTGGTTCTACTTCTCAGTAAAATGGTAAACATGACCATCAGATGAAAGCAAAGATATGCATGGAAGGGAGGGGTGTGGGCAATGCAGAGAGGGGCAGCTCAGCTGCTGCCTAGTCACAGCATGGGACGATCCACCCCAGGTCAGGGTGCCTGTAGCCAGCCATACTGTTCAGCACTCACCATCTTCTGAGTAGACTTAGCCACATGAATCTCCCACAAAAACTTAACGCTGACTTTCAACAATAAATAATAAATGAAATTCACTTCAATATAAAACAGTTAAAAACATACTATCTATAGTACTGCTTCTGTCTTCAAAGAGCTTTTAAACAGTCACACCACGACAACTGTTGCTAATAACCCACCTGCCCTTCTCCATCCTGGTTGTCTTGTATCATCAATCAAGCAATAGCCAGTCTCCCCTCACTGCATAAAGTGGATTAAACAATACACACGAATTCAAAGGAAGTGGACTTCACCTCTTGTTCTCCTCTTTCTCCAGCAGCAGACTGCTTGACAAACACTGTGTCAGGCGCTCCTCGGCAGAAGCTCCTCGCATCAGATCCTCTGTGCTGGGAATCCTTCCCTCTCGACCACGCTCTGTGCTCCTCTTCCAGTTACCGTCCATGTGAAGCAATGGTATGGGAAAATTGTTTGCAGAAGCGTGAAAAGTCTTTATTCCCAAACTGTAAGTACATGATTTGAAATGCTTATGGTCAAGAGAAAATATTTCTACAGCATCATGTAAAGCATATAGATACAATTGCACACGTGCTTTAACATGTAAGAACATGTGCCTCAGACACGTGCCCTCCTGGGACAGCTCATGCTGGCCTGGCCTGCTTCCAGGCTTCCCTCAAGTCAGGGAGTAGGGCAAAGAGGGAAGGCAGCCCCTGCACCGTAGTAACCCTCATGCACAGAGGCATCGAGACTGCCTGTTCCTCTTGGAAGCTTCTGCTCTCACGAGGCAGCTTTTGGAGCTTCTCTGCTTCATGTCTTCCTTCCCGCCCCAGGGTTCCAGATTCTGTTTTTCCCTAATATTGGCAAGGTCCTTATTTTTTATATTTAGCTTTGGAAGTAATTTTACAAATGATGAGAGAAGGCATCTAACATTTTTCTCTAAACATATGCCAATGTTTGTCCTTTCCCCACTAATTTCAATAATTTGGCATAACACTTTTGTCACACGTGGTTCTATTTCTTGACTCTTTATTCTGATCCATTCATCTATTCTGGCTTCCCCACGTGGTTTTAAGTACTGGAGCCTTTTCTATATGTTTTGATATCAGGCCAAGCAAACCTTGTTAAGCTTATTTAAAACTTTCTTAGCAATTGCTGAATATTTTCTTATCTTGATGAATTTTAGAACTTATCAATACCAGAACTGACATCTTCACAGCATTGTATCGTCCTGTAAACAACCTAGTCTGTACCTCAATGGCTCAGGTTTCCTTTGTACATGCAGGCCCTGAGAAACTCATGTTGTGAATCAGGCTTTTTTCTTTCTTTTCTTTTCTTTTTTTTTTTTTTTAACATGTTGTGGGTCTGTCTATCTCATCAACTTGCTGAATTCAGAATAGTTCTATGGGCTTGACCGATTATCTTGGATCGACAACTGTACTGTCTGGAAATGACAGTTTCTCCTTCCTTTCGGTATTTGTGCCATATCCCAACCCTGCGCTGGTCAGAATTTCCAAGACAATAGTGAATAGTAGCCAGGACAACAGGTTGGTTCTGACTCCAGTGTTCCTAATGTTCAAGAAGCACGTTCCCACCCCCTGCCTTTTGGTAGTTTTATGTTAGGTAGCCTTATCGGGTTAGGACTTTTTTTTTTTTAACCCGAGCTAAAGAAATTACCCAAAATAAAGAAATTTTATTGGGAATGGGTGTAAGTTTTAAGAAATGTATTTCAACACCTGCTACAATGGCCACTTATTTTTCTATTATGGCAATAAATTACATTAATACATTTTCACTGTTATTGTTTACCCTGGGAGAAAGCATACTTGTGAACTTTTTAGGTACCGTGCTTTGGAACCAGATTTGGAAGTGAGATGAAATGTCTGCTGCATTCTCCTAGTTAGGTTGATTTCAGGGTCAGGTTTGCCAGATAAATGAAGTGAAATGCTTCTAACTTTGCTCTAGAAGAGTTTCTACCGCATGGGAATGACCTGTTCCTTGAGGGTTTGACACAATCTGCCCACAATGGACTGGATTTGGCATGTAGGATGTTAATTTCTGTGTACTTTGGAAGAAAAATACAGTTTAGCAAGCAACAGAAACATACTGAACATGAATCTCACCGTCCTTCTGTCAGCTGTAGCTCCTTCTGTGTCTGCAATCTGGCTTGTTCCCATGACAAAGGAACATCATATTTTTTCAAATGGTTTTTAAAAAAATATACACATATCTGACCATCTTCACTTAGCGCCTCTGAGAAAACAATACAAAAACAGATAGAGATCAGTCTGAGCAACACAGCAAGCCCGTCTCAAAAAACAAAAAGAAAACCAGGTAAAAATAATATATAAAGAGCAGCAGGTGGCCATTTGGCATGTGCTTAAATTCACTGATTTAAGGGCAAGTCCTTCGATTAATTAAAGTCACACAATTATGTGACTACCATACTTTGATTAAATAGGCTCCCAGTGTCCATGCGTCACTCAAAGTCCAGACAGGCTGACATCCAGACTGGCAGGGCCAGTAATGACTACTCAAAAGCCACAGAATCCTCTCTAAGAGCCAGCCTAGGAAGCCTGTTTCAGGGAGGTGAGTTCAGGCTCTATTGGAACCTTCTTAGCTTGTTTTCAATGTTTCTAAGTCACTGACTTGAAGGAGGAAGTCCTAAGGAAAAGAAGGGTAGGGACTCGAGAGAAAAGAAGCAACATCAAGTAAACATCTTCCTTTGCAGAAACTGTACCAGAAAGTCTTGTGAGGTGCTGATCGCACTGCACCATGGTCTAACTACCTGATGTAACAGGAAGCCGGGGGGGTGTCCAGTCTCTCAGCTTGTGGTTGACACACAAGGCGATGAGATCATCCCATGGGATCTCCATGATGGAGGGGCCTGCCCCATGGACTGCGGAGGGGCTCTTGCTCTTCCACCTACGGTAGGTTCTGCAGAGCAGGTTCTCCACCTGGGACTGGAGGACAGGCTGCGTCTGGCATGAGCTGGGGATCTGAGAGGCGTACTGCACAACCATGGAGCACACGGGGAGCCAGGGGGCTGAGGAGAAAGTGCCTCATTAGTTACAGGTTTGGCCAAAGTACAGGGGAAAATGTATATGAAAATATTTTTAACTCTATTTTCTTAGGAGAAGGCAACTGTGAAGTTGAGAAGTCTGCTTTCTAAACATAGCAGAACCACAGTTGTTGAGGGGAAGAGCAGCTTGCTCCCAGGGTTTGGGTGAGGGATGCAGACAGTCCCCCTAAACAGTGTTGATAGCAAAGGTACACCATACCCAGAAACTCTACTTGTGCCTAGGAATCTTTTCTTTTTTTTTGAGACAGAGTCTCACTCTGTCACCAGGTGCCAGGCTGGAGTGCAGTGGCACGACCTTAGCTCACTGCAACCTCCGCCTCCCGGGTTCAAGCAATTCTCCTGCCTCAGCCTCCTGAGTAGCTGGGACCACAGGCGCACGCCACCACACCCAGCTAATTTTTTTGTATTTTTAGTAGAGACAGGGTTTCACCATGTTGGCCAGGATGGTCTCGATCTCTTGACCTCGTGATCCGCCCGCCTCGGCCTCCCAAAGTGCTGGGATTACAGGCATGAGCCACTGCGCCCAGCCAGGAATCTGAATTTTACAAGCACCCAGGTAAGTCTGGTATAAGTTGTCTTAGCTTATTTTGGTGAACCCCAACCTAGTCAGAACACTAAGGGCTTGCAGTGAGTGGTTTGCTTCCCTTTGGATTCCTTCAATGAGCATGGGTTAGAGGTACTACAGACCACACCTCACAATTTAGAAGGGCACCTGAGGCCCAAAGGGGAGTGTCTATGCTAATGCCATGACTTCCACCAAATAAGCAGCTCATTCCCTTCTGACAATGTCTGCATGGGAAGGAGCAGCCCTATGCCACACTGAGCTTGAGCCAGCCAGATGGCCTATAGGACAGCTCAGAGACCTCAGCCAGAAACAGGGGCCCAGCCAGAGCCACAGAACAAAACTTCTTTGACAAAGAAGTAACATTAAATCAGCACTGAGTGCCATGGCTGTGGCTTGGGGACAGGGCTACATGGTCCCCATGCTCTTTGCCCCTGGCTCGTCTGTTTTGAAAACAGGGACCATGTGAGGCAGGCAGGACAGGATCAGGGTTGTACCACCTGCCACTTTCCTCCTGAGGCAAGTGAACTCCCATGGACTGCTCTGTCGGTCAGGAAAGGCCAACAGCCCCCACTTCACAAAACCCAGCTTGTTCTGACCCATGAACCCAAAGGAAGGTACAGGCAAACACACTGTAGGGACGCCCCATGTGCCCAGTGGAGGTGGATGTGCAGCCCTCACACTGGTGTCCAACACCTGCTGGGTGGTCACTACAGTGAGAAGGAAGCCTGAGGCTCAGCTGCAGCCACTCACTGCTCCTCCCAGCACAAGCACTTACCCCCCAGCGGCGGAAGGTCCATCTGCGGAAGCTGGAACCCGAGCACAGCCTGCTTCAGCCAGGCCAGGTGCTCTGGGGCATTCCAGTGCAGGTGAGGAAGCAGCCGGCTGCCCCCCACCTCAGCAAACTCAGTGACAGGCCAGGACAGGTCACACAGCTGTTCAGAGGACACCACGGAAGCCAGGAACTGCAGCACACTGTTAAACAGCTCAATGATGGCGCCAGGCTCCTGCGAAGGAAGGCCACCCAGACGCCTCTCTCTTCGGTCATGGAAAAAGCGGCCACTAAACTCACGGCCAATCCCATCTTCAACATACTGAATGAGAGTCTGGCAGCAAAGGTCAAGGGAATGGGGGCAATGGGAAACCAGCCACTGCACCGCTTGCAAAACCTGAGAGCAAAGACATTCAGAAGAGACTTGGTTGAACATCACACTGTTTTTTCAAAAACAGCTTTCTGGAACAGCTTGATTCCCCAAGGTTGCCCACAGCAAGTAACACCAGAGTACTGGGCTCTCAGCTGCGGTAGGAAGGGGAACAGAAGTGTCCTTTGCAGTTGAGTTTAGCCTTCTAGGGCTCTGGAGACATGTTCAGCAGAGGAACTAATGAGAGGCCCCCAGATCCCATCCGGCCTGAGGAGGAATGTGACCTGCATGCTCGCCCCCGTGGAAGGGCCCAGGCCCTCAGGAAACCAACCCTGAACATCCTCTTTGCCATGCACAGAAATGGAAGCCATGTCTTCTGATTTTTGGAAGGACTAAAAGCTTCACTATGTGCCAAGATGCCATCACACCATAGTTATCTTACTTCCTGTAGTTATTTTAATTCCTGGCACCTCTTTCTCTAAATTGTTAGCAAAGACTCCCGCTGCCTTTCTTTTTTCTTTTGAGAAGGGGGTCTCCCTATGTTGCGCCAGGCTAGTCTCCAACTCTTGGGCTCAAGCAGTCCTCTTGCTTCAACCTCCCAAGCAGCTGAGATTACAGGTTTGAGGAGACACCATGCCCAGCTTCAGACTTCCTTTTCAAAGGAAACATCAAATAACATTATTTCTTAATACATTCAGAGGACAATCACCCTAGAAAAATAATGTCTATATCTGACCTGCAAATATATGTTCATATTTTAAATTCATAGAAACAAAAACACTAAAAAATTTTACTATGAACGATTTAATTTGCAGATAGCAGGACTGGGCAAATTTTATCTTTTGATTTCTGCTTATGTTTTTAGAAAGTTATCTATAAAACACACACCTGCTGCCAGGCGCAGTGGCATACCACGGTAGTCCCATATACTTGGGAGGCTGAAGTGGGAATGACTGCGTGAGCCCAGTAGTTGAGGCTGCAGGGAGCTATCATGCCACACAGGGTGACAGAATAAAACTCTGTCTTAAGAAAAAAAGAAAAAAAAAATGCTAATGCTAATATATGCTCAATTCAAGACACAGCAAAAGGGGAAAAATCAAAATACCCTGACGGACCGATAAAAATGATGAAAGCTTACCTTAGTTGAACCCTGTAGATCATTAATGGAATCAGGGATCTCCTTAACAGTGTAATCTGAAATCAGCTTAGCTGAAACCAAGTCCTGGAGCATCAGACCTTTAACAGAAAGAGATGAAGGTCACACGCATTCTGCTCTCAGCACATCTGCTAACACAACTCACTGTGCTGACCCACCCCAGTCCTGCAGTGGACAGTCCTATAAGGGTTGCTGTCTCAGTGATTCCTGACCCCACACTACTGGACCATCCTCAGACCAAGCGTCCACCCCTTTATTAAACAATGCTGATTCATAAACAAGACTTCCTTCACAGACCATCCTCTACTTCCGTCTCAACGGCGTCCCCTCCTGAGCTGGGCACAAGAACCACCAGCGGAAGTGCAGGCTGGAAGGGCTTGGCCTGCAGGAGCTGCTTGAGCTGCAGCAAGGCCGACAGCCAGTACACATCCTCCTCTGCGACGTCCTCACTCTTCACTTTGGGGGGGAGCAGCAGCATGAGCCCACTGGCTCCCAGGAGGTCCTTCTGTGTCTCCACAGCATCAATGGCGCCATCACTGAGGGCACCATGGGTCACCTGCAAGTGCATCAAGATCATCAGGATAGACGCACCACAGGACACATCAGCAGTACTCATCTGCCCCAGAGCAAGTGCAGCCAGAGCTCTCTATGCGCTAAACACTGACTGCACTCCAGACAGGCTTCCAAGGGCACAGCTGGGCATACCCTACAGTTATCTTACTTCCTGTAGTTAATTTCATTCCTGGCACCTCTTTCCCTAAATCCAATTGTTAGCAAAGACCCCTCCAACCATTTTTTTTCTTTTTTATTGAGAAGGGGGTCTTTTTATGTTGCCCAGGCTGGTCTTGAACTCCTAGGCTCAAACAGTCCTCCTGCTTCAGCCTCCTGAGTAGCTGAGATTACAGGATTGAGGAGCCACCATGCCCAGGTTCAGATTTCCAAAAGAAATATCAAATAACATTCTTTCTTCATATATCCAGATGACAATCGCCCTAGAAAAATAATTTCTATATCTGACCTTCAGATAGAAAACATATTCATATTTTTTTTCTTTTGAGACAGTGTCTCACTCTGTTGCCCAGACTGGATTGCTGTGGCATAATCTCAGCTCACTGCAACCTCTGCCTCCTGGATTCAAGCAATTCTGCCTCAGACTCCTGAGTAGCTGGGACTACAGGCGCCCACAACCATGCCCAACTAATTTTTGTATTTTTAATGGAGATGGGGTTTCACCATGTTGGCCAGACTGGCCTTGAACACCTGACCTCAAGTGATCAGCCCACCTTGGCCTACCAAAGTGCTGGGATTACAGGCATGAGCCACTGCGCCTGCCCATGTTCATGTTTTAAATTCGTAGAAACAAAAACAACAGAATTAATGCAACAGAATTAGTGTAAGAAATGGCCAGTTCAACAGGTAATTTAGTCTCCACCTAGAATTATGTTTGACTATATTACTAAAATTTTAATTAACCTGAAACAGGTATAAAAACAGTTAAAGCTAGACAAAGTGGCCCATGTCTGTCATCCCGGCACATAAGGAGGCCAAGGCAGGAAAACTGTTTGAGGCCAGGAGTTCAAGACCAGCCTGGGCAACATATCAAGACCCCATCTCCATAAAAATAAACAAAACTTTAAGCCCATAACAACATAAAGAGGGAAGGCAAGCTAGCAGCAGATGAGGGATTCTGATACATTTCTAGAAAGCAGCAAGTAGATGGGTCCAATCCCTGGGTTAGGGAAGAAGAGGAAGCCATACCTAAAGGCTGCAGGTGTGGGTGTGGAGGGAGCCAGGTTGACTGAACCTGCAAAAGCCCTATATATCCAGGCCCTGCAGATACCAGGAGCCAAAGGTGAAGTTCAGAGCCTGGCCTATAGGCACCCACCACTGCAGGCAACCTTATGTACAACTAGTCGCCCTGGGCCCCTGAACAGGAGTCCTGAGGGGATTCTGATGCAGGGGCGTGGTCAGGCACGGTGGAAGGGACTCAGTGTCAAACCACTCCCGACCCTACCCTGAGAATACCAGCAGCTCTTCAGGAAGCAGAAGGCACAAGTTCTTTCCAGAAAAACTGAACCGTCTAGGGAACAGACATTCAGATCCAGAAATTTGCGAGTCCCTCCAAAAAGGCTGGCTTGCCATTTAGCTACCTCCCACCCCACCCTGAACACAGAACTTCTTGGCCAGCCTTGTAGGGCCTCACTCAGTTATAGACAGCCAGCCTTGGGTAAGGTATCTGAGGAGAGCCTCCAACATAAAAGAGATAAACTAGAATAACGTAAGAGGGGCGGAAAAAAGAGGAACCAGATAATGCATGAACCAAAGAAAACTTAAACCCCAAAACCCTAATTTCCTCGGAAAGATATAATGCATCCAAAAAATAAGATGCTATGAAAAAGTCAACATAAGAAGAGGAAATAATATAAATGGAAGAAAAAAATCAGTAGAACAACTGGAAAACAAAGTCAAGGTAATCTTCCAGAACACAGTAGGAGGAGAAAAGATTGAAAATAGGATAGGAAAGGATAAGAAACTCAAAGGATCAGATGATGAGATCTAACATCGAACAGAGGCTCAAGAGAGAAAAGAAAATAGAGATTGGACATGGTGGCTCACACCTGTAATCCCAGCGCTCTGGGAGGCCAAGGCAGGCGGATCACGAGGTCAGGAGATCAAGACCACCCTGGGCAACATGGTGAAACCCTGTCTCTACTAAAAATACAAAAATTAGCCAGGCAGGGTGGCATGCACCTGTAGTCCCAGCTATTCGGGAAGCTGAGGCAGGAGAATCACTTGAACTCAGGAGGCAGAGGTTGCAGTGAGCCAAAATTGTGCCATTGCACTCCAGCCTAGGCAACAAGAGCAAGACTCCATCTCAAAAAAATTAAGTGAGTGTCATAAAAACATGACTGCTAAGCCCTACACAGTGAGTGAAGGAAGTCCAGTGCCAGGCATAACAAAGTGAATTTTTAGGATGCCATGAACAGAGAAAAAAGGCTTCTGGAGAGAAACAAAACCAGGGCACACAGAAGGGAACAGGAACAGTCTCAGACTCCACCTCAACAGCAGCAGTGGATGCTAGGTGACAGTGGAGCAAAACTGAAAGGAAAATAATTTTTTTCTTTTTTTAAGACAGGGTCTCCCTCTGTAATCAAGGCTGGAGTGCAGCGGTGAGATCACGGCTCACTGTAGCCTCGAAAACTCCCGGGTTCAAGCAGTCTTCCCACCTCAGCTTCTGAAGCTGCAAGAACTACAGGCACAGCTAATTTGGGGTTTTTTTTGTTGTTGTTTTTTGTTTTTTGAGACAGAGTCTCGCTCGGTTGCCCAGGCTGGAGTGCAATGGCCCGATCTCAGCTCACTGCAACCTCCGCCTCCCGAGTTCAAGCAATTCTCCTGCCTCAGCCTCCTAAATAGCTGGGATTACAAGCACGCACCACCACGCCCAGCTAATTTTTGTATTTTTACTAGATTGGGGGTTTCACAATGTTGGTCAGGCTGGTCTCAAACTCCTGACCTCGTGATCCGCCCACCTCAGCCTCCCAGAGTGCTGGGATTACAGGCGTGGGCCACCACTGCCAGGCCAATTTTTGTATATTTTATACAGGGTTTCACTACATTGCCCAAGCTGGTCTCAAACTCCTGTACTCAAAACAATCTGCTTACCTTGGCTTCCCAGAGTGCTGGGATTGCAGGTGTAACCCACTATGTACAGCCAGGAAACTAATTTTCTACCTATAATTTTACAAACGTTAGCTAAACTATGAAGCAAATGTGAGAATAAAATAAATCTTTTTTTCTTTCCCCAGCCTAAGTTATTTTGTCAACAAAATCATTTTTGCTGGGTGCAGTGGCTCACGCCTGTAATCCCAGCACTTTGGGAGGCCAAGGTGGACAGATCACAAGGTCAGGAGATCAAGACCATTCTGGCTAACACAATGAAACCCCGTCTCTACTAAAAATACAAAAAACTAGCCGGGCGTGGTGGCACAGGCCTATAGTCCCAGCTACTCAGGAGGCTGAGGCAGGAGAATCGCTTGAATCCAGGAGGCAGAAGTTGCAGTGAGCCAAGATCGCACCACTGCACTCCAGCATGGGCGACACAGTGAGACTCTTGTCTCGATAAAAAAAAATAATAATAGGCCGGGCGCGGTGGCCCAAGCCTGTAATCCCAGCACTTTGGGAGGCCGAGGCGGGTGGATCACGAGGTTGAGAGATCGAGACCGTCCTGGTCAACATGGTGAAACCCCGTCTCTACTAAAAATACAAAAAATTAGCTGGGCATGGTGGCTCGTGCCTATAATCCCAGCTACTCAGGAGGCTGAGGCAGGAGAATTGCCTGAGCCCAGGAGGCGGAGGTTGCGTTGAGCCGAGATCGCGCCATTGCACTCCAGCCTGGGTAACAAGAGTGAAACTCCGTCTCAAAAAAAAAAAAATAATAATAATAATAATAATACATCATTTATATAAGGGAAAGGACTCAGAAAATTCCCCTCCCATGACATGTACCATCCAACAAGGGGATGAACCAAGAAAAAATACCACAGCTGCTGCTAATGGCAACACTGAGCAAGTACCTGGCCTGTGCCAGGCATTGTCCTACGCAGCCTACATGTGCAGACTCTCTCCATCCTCAAGAGCCAGATGAGCATCTCCAGCACACAGCACCTGCACAGGCTTGGGCAATTTCTTTTGGCTTTGCTGAGTAAAATAGGACAATAAGTAGAGTATCCATCCATACATAGGTGGCAGAGACATTAGGGAACTTGCCCAACGTCACAGAGCTTCCAGGTGGAGGAGCAGGGACATGTGCTTGCAATGATGGCACGAAGACACATGCTGCGTGGATGGAGACCAGCCCACAGGTGAGCGTTCCAGGACAGAGGGAATATGGATGGATCAGAATACGGAAGTGACAGAACATTTGGAAAAGTCTACCGAGATATATACAGCAACCGCCTCCCCTCCCGCCCAGTAAAAATTAAAGCGATAGAGAACTATGTTAAGTGAGACAATAAGGCAACTCCAGTTCTTGCAGGAAAAAAATAATTGTGGTCAAAGAACACTACTGGTTCTGAGGCAAGTAGAGTCACAGAGCCCATTCACTGGAGTGTGCTCACAAAGTGACAGTGTAGCCATCCTGGGAAGACGTGGAAGGCTGAGTGGGATCATGGCACAGGAGGCCACTCTGCACCTAGTGTGGTATGCAGCAGCCAAGAAGGCCCCCCGACTCCACCTAGTGTTCAAGCCCTTGTGTGATCTCCTGCCCTGTGAGCTGGGCCTAGCCACTCACTTCTAACAGACAGAACCCAACAAAAGCAACAGGATAAGTTTAGGTTATCCAAGCACTCAGACTTCCATCTTGGCTCACCTCTTGCTCACTCTGATGAAAGCCAGCTGCCATGCTGCCAGCTGGGGAGAGGCCCAGGTGGCAGAAAGTGAGGAAGTCTCTCGCCATAGCCTGCAAGGAAGTGAATCCTGCCGCCAGCTCACTAGAATGAGCTGGGAAGTAGACACCCTTCAATCAAGCTTTCAGATGAGACCATAATCCCACCCATGAGAAACCTTGAGCCAGAGAACCCAAGCTAGGCTACACCTGGATTCCTGACCCACAGAAATTTGGTAACAGATGTCATTTTACGCTGCTATGTTAGGGGTAATTTGTTATTTAGGAATAGGTAACTAATACATTTGTATTAATGGGAAGTCAGCAGAGAACACTGAAATGGCTAAACTGAGAAACGGCTGTGTAAGTGTGTGATCTGGAAACATGAGAAAAATGAGGCCCTGAAGAAAGGAGTAGAGAGGAGGGAGGAGCTACCATGTCTCATTTTAAATCATGTCGCATTATTTGACTTATTTTTAAGTACATGGAAGCATTACTTTCATTAAAAATGAAAATGAAGGTAACAGGAACAGTAAAATAATTTCCAGGAGATGAAATATAACTTTGTAATCATAGGAAAAGGGAAAAATGGGCACCAAGAAGTTACTGTCACCTCAAAACAGCAAGAGCATGGATGGCTGTTATCATCTTTACACTTCTTTTACATTTCCTCATTTTAAAAAAGTTTTGTATACGGATTACACTTAGGAAATTCAATATATAGTATTAAAATAGAAAAACTAAAGAAGCAGGCTAGGTGCAGTGCCCACTGCTACATCTGACTGGCTTAAAAAAATAATTTTTAAAAAGACACTAGAAATGACAGACATAATACTTGCTTCTTAGCTCCCACAGTCTTTCAAAATCACGTTAGGGAATAAATGGTATTTGCATGATTCCAATGATATCTTGGAGTAAGTGAAAGTAATGAAAACGTAGAAGTAAACACAAAGTAATTATAATTCACCTTTATACACACATTCACAGAAATCATCTGATCCCCTTTGCCGCTGAGAGAGTTGAAAAGCGAAAGCGTCTGAATCCCACCAGCATCGCTGCACATGTCATCCACCGAGCCATCATCTCCCATGAACTTTACTTTCAACCAATTTGCCAGAATTCTATAGATTTAAAAAAAAACACTTGAAGAATCCAATTCTAAATTTGAATTATAACGACTTCCAGGAAAAGAAGAAAGAGAAATATCACACAGATCTAGGTCCAAAGTTACCAAATCTCACTATGAAGTTGACCTGCACAAAACAGGCTGTCATTTTAAAATGGAGCAATGATCTTTACTTGTTCTTCCCCTCCCCCCAGATAGGGTCTCACCGTCACCCAGGGTACAGTGCAGTGATACAAACTCGGCTCACTGTAGCAAGCAAACCTCCTGCCTCAGCCTCCTCAGTAGCCGGGACTACAGGTACGGACCACCATCCTCTGCTAAGTTTTGTTAGCACAACATAGATGTTGCTCACGCTGGCTTCAAACTCCTGGGCTCAAGCAATCCTTCCACAGCCTCCCCAGTTGCTGAGATTACAGCTGTGAGCCACTACACCTGGCTTCTACTTGTTTTTAATTGAGCAGGAGGGAGCACTCATAGAACTGGCTCATTCTAATGTGACTTAAGATTCTGAGGCATTAAGATTTTCAGCAAGAGAAAACATCCCTAGAGTTTGAAATACATATTTTTTTATAGATCGAATTTCTCATATCTGAGACCTTAAGAATTCCTAAGTGATACTTAGCAAATCACAAGACAGCTATTTTAAGAAATGAATCCTCAGCTGGGCGTGGTGGCTCACACCTGTAATCCCAGCACTTTGGAAGGCCAAGGCAGCTGGATTGCTTGAGCCAGGAGTTCAAGACCAGCCTGGGCAATATGGCGAAACCCTGTCTTTACAAAAAAAAAAAAAAAATACAAAACCTAGCTCGGCATGGTGGTGCATGCCCATAGTCTCTGCTACTCTGAAAGACCACTTGAGCCCAGGAGGTCATGTTGCAGAGAGCCAAGATTGCATCACTGCACTCCAGCCTGGGGGATAGAGTGAGACCTTGTTTCAAAATTAAATAATAATAATAATAATAAAGGAAAAATGAATCGCCATTTAAATATTTTTAAAATGCCACAACACTCTTTTTTGTTCAGCTGTCCTATGAGATGAACATCATGACTTTCTCTTTCTTTTTCCTTACTGCATGTGTTCCAAGCTTGCCTGGGGTTTCTTTTTAAGTGAAAAAGTATTCTGGAATTAGATAATGTTGTTTAAAAAGAAATGTGTTCAGAGAACTTCAAACCCTCATACATTGCTGGTAGGAATGTTAAAGATGCAGCCATCATGGAAAGGTTTGGCAATCCCTCAAAGACTTAAACATATAGTTTCCATACAATTAGCAATCCTACTCCTAACTATATAACCAAGAGAATCATAAATCACATGTCCACACAAATACTTACACATGAGTATTCATAGGAGTCTTTTCACAGTATCCAAAAAGCAGAAACCACCCAAATGCCTATCAACCGATAGATGGAAAAATAAGGTATACTCACACAATGGAGTATTATTCAGCCACAGAAAAGGAAGCACTAACATATGCTTCAACGTGGAAAAGTCTAGAAAACATCCCATAAGGGAAAGGTGAGATTCACAAAAGGCTACATATTATATGATTCCATTTATGTAAGATGTCTAGAATAGGTAAATTTATGGAAACAGAAAGCAGATCAGTGGTTTCAGGCTGGGTACGGTGGCTCACATCTGTAATCCCAGCACTTTGGGAGGCCAAGGCAGGCACATCACCTCAGGTGAAGAGTTCAAGACCAGCCTGGCCAAGATGGTGAAACCCCATCTCTACTAAAAATAAAAAATTAGACTGGGTGTGCACTTGTAATCACAGCTACTCGGAAGGCTGAGGCAAGAAAATTGCTTAAATCTGAGAAACAGAGGTTACAGTGAGCTCAGATCACACCACTGTACTTCAGCCCGGGCAACAGAGCAAGACTCCATCTCAAAAAAAAAAAAAAAAAAAAAGAATACGAGCTTTCTTGAGTTAAAAAGCTTTCTGGAATTAGTTCTTCACAGTGATGGTTGCAAAACCCTGTGGATTTATCTAAAAATCACGGAAATGTACACTTCAAATGGGTGAAATTTTTTTTTTTTTTACGCTAGTATCTAATTATGTGCTTACTTACAAATGGGTGAAATTTATGGTATGTAAATAACATTTCAATAAAACTATCGTAAAAAGTAACTGTAAACTGGTCGTGGTGGTTCACGCCTGTAATCCCAAAACCTTGGGAAACCAAAGCTCGTGGATTGCTTTAGCCCACAAATTCAAGACCAGCCTGGGAAACACGGTGAAACCCCATCTTTCAAAAAAGAAAAACCATTAGCCAGGCATGATGGCACACGCCTGTAGTTCCAGCTACTCAGGAAGCTAAGGCGAGAAGGTTATTTGAACCCAGGAGATCAAGGCTTCAGTGAGTCATTATCACATAAGTGCCCTCCAGCCTAGATGACAACAAAGCAAGACCCTGTCTCAGAAGAAACTGTAGTTGCTTTAAAACTATGATTTCAGGCCAGGCGTGGTGGCTCACACCTATAATCCCAGCACTTTGGGAGGCCGAGGCAGGTGGATCACGAGGTCAAGAGATCGAGACCATCCTGGTCAACAAGGTGAAACCCCGTATCTACTAAAAATACAAAAAGTTAGCTGGGCATGGTGGTGCGTGCCTGTAGTCCCAGCTACTCAGGAGGCTGAGGCAGGAGAATTGCTTGAACCCAGGAGGCGGAGGTTGGCGGTGAGCCGAGATAGTGCCATTGCACTCCAGTCTGGGTAACAACAGCAAAACTCCATCTCAAAAAAAAAAAAGAAAAAAAAAACAACTATGATTTCTTGGCCAGGAGTAATGGCTCACACCTATAAGCCCAGCACTTTGGGAGGCCGAGGCGGGTGGATCATGAGGTCAGGATTTCGAGACCAGCCTGACCAACATGGTAAAATCCCGTCTCTACTAAAAATATAAAAAAATTAGCCAGGCGTGGTGGTGCGCACATGTAATCCCAGCTACTCAAGAGACTAATGCAGGAGAATAGCTTGAACTCAGGAGGCGGAGGCTTCAGTGAGCCAAGCCACTGTACTCCAGCCTGGGTGACAAAGTGAGACTCCAGCTCAAACACTGGGAAAAAAAAAAGACTTCTGGCCAAGTGCAATGGCTCACTCCTGTAATCCCAGCACTCTGGGAGGCCCAGGCGGGTGGACTACAAGGTCAGGAGATTGAGACCAGCCTGGCTAGCACGGTGAAAACCCCATCTCTACTAAAATACCAAAAAAATAAAAATAAAAATTAGCTGGGCGTGGTGGCAGGAGCCTGTAATCCCAGCTGCTTGGGAGGCTGAGGCAGGAGAATCACTTGAACCCAGGAGGCAGAAGTTGCAGCGAGCCAAGATTGTGCCTTTGCACTCCAGCCTGGCGACACAGCGAGATTCTGTCTCAAAAAAAGAATTCTCTATGCTAGTTACAGGAAATAAGGCCATGTCAATTTTTTTTCGTTTTTAAAATGCCAAAAGTTTCGGCCGGGCGCGGTGGCTCAAGCCTGTAATCCCAGCACTTTGGGAGGCCGAGGCGGGTGGATCACAAGGTCAAGAGATTGAAACCATCCTGGTCAACATGGTGAAACTCCGTCTCTACTCAAAATACAAAAAATTAGCTGGGCATGGTGGCGCGTGCCTGTAATCCCAGCTACTCGGGAGGCTGAGGGAGGAGAATTGCCTGAACCCAGGAGGCGAAAGTTGCGGTGAGCTGAGATTGCACCATTGCACTCCAGCCTGGGTAACAAGAGCGAAACTCCGTCTCAAAAAATAAATAAATAAATAAAATCCTGCGCAAAACAGACCGTAAATCCAAGCATTAAAACATTAAAACTATGGTTCAGAGTTCCCATCACACATAAAAGGAATACCCGGCCCTGGCTCACAGCTCTGCTCCCGTCCACTCCACCTCTTGGAAACCCCACAGGGGATACCCTTCCTGACCTGCCAGGACTCCCTGGGGACTGCTCTTCTCCATCCGGCAACACCAGCACCAGCTTCCAAAACACATGCTCCTGCCTCCCAGGGAGGTGCTCAGCCACAAGGGACGGCAGGTCCAGAGATGCCCACGCCACATCACTGGAAGGAAAAGACCACCGTGGGTTAGCCAGTATGTGAGTGAGACCCTGAGCAGCACACACACATCCTAGGAGCAGGAAGGGGCAGGTGGGGAAAAATCAGGGTCAGAGGCTGAACTGCAAACTTGAAACCACGTCTGAAACTCAGCAGAGACCACAGATGCATGAAGGGCTGTCAGTGTGACAGACGGAGACGGGGTCAGAGGTCACCGGGGAGCACACAGAAGGGTGGGGCATGACAGACCTCAGCAGCTGCTGGTAGAAGTGCTGAACCTTCATCTGGTGAGCCGTCTCATTTCTAAGCCGCCTTAACCTGCAAAGGAAAGCAGAATGACAGTGTCCCTGAAGGAGCTTAGTGAAAAGTACTGACCGGCTAGTGAGTGTCCCCTGGGGAATACCAAGGAGACTGAAAAAAAAACTTTCTGCTAAAGAAATGGGTTACAGGCCAGGCACGGTGGCTCACGTCTGTAATCCCAGCACTTTGGGAGGCTGAGGCGGGCAGATCCCGAGGTCAGGAGATCAAGACCATCCTGGCTAACATGGTGAAACCCTGTCTCGACTACAAATACAAAAAATTAACTGGGTGTGGTGGCGCACGCCTATAGTCTCAGCTACTCAGGAGGCTGAGGCAGGAAAATCGCTTGAACCCGGGAGGCAGAGGTTGCAGTGAGCCAGTATCGAGGGCACTGCACTCCAGCCTGGGTGACAGAGCAAGACCCCATTTCAAAAAAAAAAAAAAAAGAAACAGGTTAAGAGGATTTCTTCATTCCACAAATATCAATTAAGTATCTGCTGTGTGCTGGCTGTGGGAGATTCAGCAATAAATCCTGCCCTTCAAGCATCTCTAAATGCTGGTCTGGCACGTGGGAGGTGTGGGCACTGTGGGCAAATGCTGCCAGGTGCGGCTGGAGCTGGGGTGTGTGTTGCAATCTCACCAGGGTGGTCAGATGATAGGTGAGTGATGACCTAAAGGAAACAGGGGCAGCCAGCATGACAACTCCCAGCAGCAGAGCACACGGCTATGCTGGGCCACAGCTGGACCTAGCATGTTTGGGGAGAGCAGTGAGGACAGCTGGGGAATGAGCTGGGTCCACAGTCCAGAGACTTGGTGATCGCTAGGTTCGCCACCAAGACAGGCAACACCACCTGGCTGAGCTATCGGGAGATCCCTCCAGCTGATGCTGACCTGGTGCAGGAGATGCCCAATTTCCCTGCGTGGCCAAGGTCCAGGAGACCCCTGGCCAGGTTCTCCTCAGCAATGGGGCACTCTGCGCTGGGCGCCAGCGCCCTCAGCCGGTCGCTCACGTCCACGCAGCAGGGCGCAGCAGGGAAAGCCCGCATCTGGCGCCTCAGTTTCTTGCGGGCTGCGACAGCTTCCCTCCACCTGGGGACAAAAAAACACATCACTGAGTGTTTTCAAGGTCTTCAAACCAATGAACAAATTGGAGTTAAAACTCAGGCATGTTGCTGACTTGGCCTACAAAAAATAAATAAATAAATACAACTCAGGCATGGGGAAGGAATGATATCAAATGAGTGTGGTGAGCAATGAAACTGCTGG